AAGGATTACAAGGACGCAAAACACTTTTACTATTTTCTAATTTGGCTGTCCAAATCCATTTTCAGAAAACAACCAACCGGGCAGCCGAGTTTTCCCTTTCAATGAAGATCATCAGTCCAGGTGTCACTTTTGGGTCCTACTCAAAGGGCCAGGTGGCAAATCTCTTTCTGTACTGTAGTTAATTATCCTGACAAGTTAAAAGCTAAAAAAAATATCAGGTCGTACAATATAATGAGGTGGCTGAGAATATGAACACATTTTTTTCCAAGTGCCCCCATCATTGAGACAGACATGAATTGCTTATGTGGGGCTTCGCATCAAGTGTTTTCCCTCCAATACCCGGAACAAAGACAAAGAGCATAAGAAATTATACAGCTCAAAATTCAAATAGTGCTCTCTATCTCCCCCTTTTGCTTTAGTAATTCTAGGTCAGAATTTAATTTATTTAACACTTAATGATGATTAGGGGATCAAGAGGGATTCGAGGACCTTTTTGCTGTTATAACTTGTAAATACAGGGGTAACGCGACCACCAACGTTCGAATCTAGTGCTTATTAGGCCCGTTTTGTGAGCTTGATTGAATAAAATTTATAATTCTAGTCAAATGTTCAGTAACTTAAAAACAATAATTTTATTATTGCCGAATGTAGTAGGATTATGAATCCTATAAAAAAGATTGGGTTAAGTAGGATTTAATTATGTCTAATCATGCGTAGTACCAAACATATCATTGGATTAACTAGCGTTATCCTCTTCAATTCATGCGTAGTACCAAACATATCATTGGATTAACTACCTCATAATCCCGAAAACACTACTTATAAGTAATAAAGGGAATTTTGTCAATAGATATAGTACTTTTTTTTTCCTTAATTTAACCCAAAAAATAGTTTTGTCAATGTACGTAAGGATAAGTATTGGGATGGTTAATGAAGTTCTGTATAATAATATTATTATTTTGTGATAAAAATGTTACTGATATAGAAAAATAAAACTACTAAGCTGGTGTTGTGTATTTACTAATGAATGTATTAACAGCAATAACTGATACCAAATTAAGCATGAAGCATGATGAGTGATACAACGAGAATCCAATTAAGGATAAGGATATCGAAATAAGAAAAAAAGAAAACAAAAACAAGGCCTTTTCTTGTTGGGGAGTTGATATATAACGTTGCATAGAAGCACAGACGACGTCGCTGCCTGAAATGGATATGTCACCTAGCTAGGGTTATCAACAAGATCAAAGTTTTTCTCAATTCATACAAGAATAATAATCTGAAAATTTGGCTTAAAAACTAGTCCAGCTCAGGGTTGTGATGTCATTGTTTTCAAGTTTCGACCAATAAATAAATTAATTAGGTTTCAATTATTTGGTAAAAAACCACATACAAGGAAGAAAAGATAATCCCATTGTTTTCTTGGTGGAGAAATAAATATAGAGTCTTTGCCAAATTTTCTCTCTGACTCCATTTTATTTGTCATGTTCTTTGTCTTTTGAATACGACCCTTGACTTGCCTTTCCCAGCAGCTCAGTTTTGAAACCAACGTTGGTTCTAAGCCACGCAGAAATCGCACAACTGTCTTCTCTTCTCTCCATCCAAACACTCTAAACACACACACACACAACTCTCTCTCTCTCTCTCTCTCTCTGCCTCCTCCTCATCAAAAACCAAACCTCTCTCTCCAAAACCTCATAAGTTTTCTTAACATGCTCGCTTTCCTAATCAACTTGATTTTACTCTTTGCTAGTAGCACCAATGCGGCCACCGCGGCTTCTTCTGGGCGACTCAAGGAAGCGCTCGCCACCTCGACACCTCAAAGATTCAAGGAAGCGCCCAAGTTCTATAACTCCGCCACCTGCCCCGCCCTCAACACCCACGAGCACTCCTCCACCGTCTGCTCCGACGTAGCGGTGCACGTGGCAATGACCCTCGACGCCGCCTACCTCCGCGGCTCAATGGCCGCCATTCTCTCTGTCCTCCAGCACTCTTCCTGCCCGGAGAACATCATCTTCCACTTCGTCTCCTCCTCCTCCTCGTCCAATTCACAAGCTCTAACTCAAACCATCGCCACCTCATTCCCCTACCTGAAATTCCGAGTTTACCCCTTCAACGACTCGGCCGTCTTGGGGCTCATTTCCACCTCGATCCGCTCCGCGCTAGACTGCCCGCTCAACTACGCCCGCAACTACCTGGCCAATCTCCTCCCGACATGTGTACGCCGAGTCGTCTACCTCGACTCGGACCTCATCCTCGTCGACGACATATCCAAGCTAGCGTCGACCCCACTGGAGCCCACCCAAGTCCTCGCCGCACCGGAATACTGCAACGCAAACTTCACCTCCTACTTTACTCCTTCGTTTTGGGCCAACCCGACCCTCTCCCTCACGTTCGAGAACCGCCGGGCCTGCTACTTCAACACCGGCGTCATGGTCATCGATCTGGACAAGTGGCGGGCGGGCGGGTACACGGATCGGATTGTGGAGTGGATGGAGCTCCAGAAGCGGATGCGGATCTACGAGCTCGGGTCGCTGCCGCCGTTCCTCCTTGTATTTGCCGGAAACATCGCCGCCGTAGACCACCAGTGGAACCAGCACGGCCTAGGCGGGGACAACTTTCGCGGGTTGTGCCGGGATTTGCACCCGGGTCCGGTGAGCCTGCTCCATTGGAGCGGCAAGGGGAAGCCGTGGGTGAGGCTCGACGCCAACCGGCCATGCCCGTTGGATGCTCTGTGGGCCCCGTATGATCTGTTACAGACACCCTTCGCTCTGGAGGCTTAGTTGGGATCATCATCAAATTCAATTAATTAACGCTATAATAAGAAAGAAAAAAGAAAAAAAATTTCCTTTGTTTTTGTTTTTGGACTCTGGGAAGTTTTAGGTGGTGAGTAAAAATTCATCGATCCGTCGGAGTTTCTTGTACATTATACGGAGGCATTAACATATTTTAATTTTACAACCATATATTTCCTTTTATATTTTTCCTGCTTGCAGCTCGAATTCAATACAATTTGTAGTTTTCCTTTTTTTTGGGGTTTGATGTATAATAATGCTGATTTTGAATTCATTCCTTCTCGTCATGTGCTTAATAGCAATTCATGCACTTAAATTCTGCGTTCGAATCTCCCGTCCTTAATATCGCATGTATATTTAAAAAATAAAAATAAAATTATTAGGAGTAAAAAGTAAAACTAGCATGCAATTACGGAGTGGAAAAGTAGCGGAAAAAAAGAGATTGTGTTGGAGAATTGCCATATGGATTACCACGTAGCAGTCCATTTCGAAACTTTAGCATGCAAACAGACATAAAACTAGATTACGATCTTCTTCTTGCTTGCTTTATTTTCTGGTGCTCTTTTGCCTTTAAGCACTGGTGTGAATTTCTTCTCGCTTTCTCTGCTTTAACTATCAGAAGTCGCATTGAAGCTTTAGATTTGATTGGTCAGTCAGTGTGTGGCTGATTAATCTCAGGTCAGATGCCTCACATGAAATGCAGGTGCAAAGATAATTAATACGTTAAGTGCAATTATATTTCTTTGATGCTTTTTTTTGTTTTTTTGAGACAGTAGTGGTGGGAAGTTTGAGTGAATTGAAAGCGCCATATGCAGCCAATCTGTTGGAGGAGAAGTACAGCTAAACTAGAAACAAAATGTTAGTCAATTTTTTATTGTTGTTATGTCATGTTTGAGATGGGGATGGTGTGTCGTCATGCTTACAACTAATAAATATTGCATTTTACATGTCTATGTCATTTATTTATTTTGGTAAATACCACGAGGTGTCCCACATCCGAAGAGTGTGATTAATCCCCAATCGGAGTTCGACTTGCCCTTGACCACAAAGTGCTTCCAACGGATTTCGAATCTATGTCATTAATTTCATTTGTAAAACTAGAAACAAATAAACCCTTGAAGTCAGGTATCTCTTTGCAAGTACGTACCCTCTAATCGTCATTGAAGAAGGAAGGGTGGGTTACTTGGTTGGTGGCTTTCACATTTATTTGCAGAAAAACTCGCATAACCCTCACGGCTTTTGCTCGAAAAAAAATGCTGATATAATGTCGCATTAAATTGACTCTTCTCCTCCCTCATTTGAAGAACATGGCGTGGAGTTGACTACATTGACCTATAATATGTTTTCCACTCTTTTACTGTAAGCTAAACCTAGAAGATATCTAGAGATTGCTAGAATATTCTAGTCTGAACAAATTCAAACCAGTTTGAACCTGCAAAATTCCTGCACATCTTGTCGCTGCTTTAATGCACTTTATTTATTTATTATTTTTGGCTGTTTTAAATGCTAAAATACAAATATGGGTGACATGCATACTTACTGTTCATAACGCCAGGTCAGGTTCATACTGTGGAAGTGAACCAGTATATGTATATAAAGTAAAGGAGATTCACTTTTCTCCTCTTGTTTTTGTTCGTCCTTGCAACATTATTGATTCAAAACTACTTACTTTTGAAGAAGAAAAGAAGGTTTTGGAGATAGAATTTTGTCAGTGACTCTGCCACTTTTTTGGATATTTGGAAGGAGGTCAACTTGGTTTCAGTTTGAGACACCCAAATAATTATAACTCTTTCTAAGCGAAAGATAAAGTGATTCGAACTTGAGATTTCTTTCAATATTGGAATGAGAAATAACACTGCTAAATTAATGAACTCAGACTTACGTAATAGTAGAAGTAGAATATTATTACATCATTCTCCCGTGAATGAATCAAGCAAACGATGTGATGATGAAAATGTGGGCATGTTCTTGATTCAGGGAGCAATCTAAGGCCCCTGTGAAGGAGAAAATTAAATTAGCCTGGAAGGAGAACCAAGTGTGCCTCCAGCTTCTCCGGCTGCGGGATCTTAGGCTTTCATATCTCTTCTTGGAGATGCAGCCATGCACGGGACTAACTTTATTGGGATTAACTAATAATGTTTAATTATTCAGTTTGAATCATATTGTTATATATAATTAAACTAATTAACTATACATTAATTAAATGTTGTAGATTCTCAAGTTTAGTCGGCTTATCAAAGGCTTTTTTTAAAATCTCTCTACATATAAAACCACAACCTAACGTGGGAAGTTTATGCGAATTACAATGTCAATTATTGTCAGGTGCAGATAGTGAAAGACTATAGATTGAGTAGATATTAATCAACATTGGATGGTTTGACAGAACATGGAGGAATTTTTAAGCTTCTATATATGCATTTGAACACATGAAACACAGACTACATAACTACCAGTCACATGAAGCACCAAAATTATTAATTTTTGTTGTTGCCATCGTTAAGAAGGGGGAAGGGGGAAACTCACACTACGGGTACTATGGGGGCTTGAAGTTCTTGAATCCAGGACCACGTGGGAGCACACCAAAGACCTAACCTTATATCCAATCATTCATGGAGGAGTTCATATATAATTTGAATATACTCTTGGATTGTTATGTCTACCATGTCGCTAATAAGACCCTTTTTATTTTTCCTTCATTGATAATCTAACTTATAAGCAACCCAAAACCATATGATCAGCCCCTTTGAGAACATAACATGGACTTAGTCCTTAAGATGACATTCATTTAAACGAGAGATACTAAAATAAATTGATGGAAATTGAGAGGTTAGGTTAAGATTATAGGAAAGCTTATAGAGAAGGGCTAAGAAGAATGGGGTTGAGGGTTGTGGGTTGAAAACGAAATCAAGATTAAGATTTGAGCCCAATTGGACACATTGGCAAGCTTCATCATGGGGCCGAACCCACTTACTGGTCTGGGTCAACCCATGATCCACCTTGTTAGGGTCAGCTCACGATCCACTGGATAGTCCATACAAAAGCTGAATGGGCTTAATGATGATTCTGACCCTCAGAGGCTACGAGGATGAGCGTGTTCTGATTTCGCCTCGCTGCAAAAGGAACTAATGTAACACCGTGGATTAGCTGAACCAAATTGGCCCATTCTCTTCATAAGCAATTAAACAAATATTGGTTGAGTATGATTCACAAGCAGTGCTAAATGACTTTAAGAATGGTGAGGAAAAGTTATTGGCATCAGATGGGCATCTCATTGATGATATTAAGAGGAGTCTGCGACAATTTGATGATGTTACTGTTTCTTTCAGTCCAAGAGGGTGCAAATCAAGTAGCTCATATTCTAGTAAAGCATGCACTTAATTGTAATTCTATTGCAACTTGGATTGAAGAGGTTCCTCCTATGGCCGGAGCCAATTGTATAAGATGATATCGTTGTATCCTCTTAATTGTTATCCTTTAAAAAAAAAACCCCCAAAAAAAAAAAAAAAAAAAAAAAGCCAAACCAACCCATTTTGGTGTAGATATGCTTGGAGGGTAGGCTGGGCTAACGCCCCAAAATTTCCAAAACAAAAACCTAAGTATCTTTAGTAGCCCGGCCCAAATTAAAACAAATAAAAGAAACCCTACATGTCTTTTGCCCAACTGACTTCTTCGTATCTCTCCTTTCTCTATCTCTTCTTCCATTCTTCTAATCAGCCTCTCCAAACACGCTTTCGCTCTTGTGAGAGGTTTTTTTTTTTTAAAAACAAATTTATTTTATTTTAGAATTAAAAAAGATAATGGGTGCGTTCCATAAAAATAGGATCCATTATCTTATTTTTTTTTTAATTTTAATTTTTTTAAATATGAAAAAGTGTGAATTTATCATATTATTCTCATTTAATTAATAATTTGAATTTTTATTGTTTGCATTAACCAATGACATTTTATGGTATTTTGAATGTTTTACCATTCTCTGCCTTTTGCTTTACATATAGAGATTCTCTCTTATTCTCTTATTCCCTTCTCTTGGGTTTCTCCTAAATACACGTATGCATCTTTAATTTTAGTTTTAATTTGAAATTGAATATTCTAGAGTTTAAATTAGGGCCTTGATTTTAAGAATTTCGTTGAATTTGATGGTTTTGTGTGTTACATTTTAGAAATATAGTGTTATTTTGTACACGTGTATTTTTATTTTTTATATTTATTAATAAAATTCACTCGTATCATCGAATTTAGTATGTAAATTTTGCCAACTCACTTTAAAATCCTGAATCCACAACTTTGAATTTGATTTATATGGCCAATATGAACGATTTCGAAGGTTTTTGGCCCACCCCAGTAGCTACAGTATTGTCTTACGGTAAAGCTCCAACGTGCGTAATGGGTCTAATCACCAAGCGCATGATAAGAGGTTCAATTGTCTTTCCAATACATACAAGATTACACCAGAGAAATTAATGTACATCTGCCTAATCAAATTCCAACTATCCGAATGGACAAAACCAAAATCGGATATAAAGTTGATCTTTTCCGGATAATAGGATATAAAGTTGAACCAGCACAAACACAGACTTCCATTGGTAGCACCCACCAAACATTTTAGAACTACTATTGCTTTCCCTTTGTCAAATCTCTTATAAGATCACCTCGGAAAAAGAAGAAAAAAAGGTGAAGAAAATGGATTTTCCACGGGAAAGAAACAGAGCAATCATCAATCTAAGACCACAGCCACATATATATAATCTTGTACTATTAATCCACGCCTTGACATTGACTAATGGCTCTCGGTACTTCTCACTATACCTAACTCATGAGTTCATAAAAATAAAAAAAAAACCAAAAAAAAGAATCTAAAAACAGTTGAAATACAAATTATGATCATTCGACTCGAACAGGACCAGCAAAGCCGAGCATTAATATTAGCAAAAGGAGATGCACAAGGTCAACATTGGGGTCTCTAGATTTTGTTTTTGCAGCAGCATACATGCATCCTTGCAATGCGCATTCAAGAAACCACAGCTTTGTTTGCTTCCTTGTAGTATGTGTAGTTTTCTCCACCTCTTGTGGTCCTCTTCCTCAAATGTTTGTAATATACGTACTGCAATATTATCTGTTGTTATGTTTGTTAAGGCGTCACAGTAAAGCCTTGTGTCATATTATTGATGACAACCTCACACAAAGTGATCGGTAAACCTAGTAAGAAAAAGGATACAAATAAGTCGAGTCCCACGCAAACTACCGCATCGAGCAACCATGGCATGTTGGCTTTGATGCTGTCCCATTCTGTGGTTCTTACAACTATGCTGCAATATTCAAACAAGTTAATAAGAAGCCTGAGAAAATTGGATCACGCAAGACAAACATTCGACAGCACAAATAGATCGAAAGACGGTGAAGTAGAGAGATTTTTGTAACCTTCCGACATAAGTGACGTTTGCGACGAGTGCAAAGACGAACATTAGAGGATTCAAACCCTGCATATATAAAAGTAAAGGTCATAAAATTCTGTTACAAGTCCAGATTATTATACACTAAATATATTATATGATTTGAAAGCAAAGCAAGGGATAAAATCATTACCTCCACAGTTCCTCTTTTAATCTGGCCAATGAAAATCACACAGTAACTAAGTTAGAAACCTCCAAACGAAATCGTAAACAGGGAATTATAAATTAAACTTTGAAAGTGACAGAGATATGACTGATTAAAATATACTAATATGTTATTTCTTCCTATCTGATGATTTGACGGCTACGAATAAAGAAGATTTTATCTAACAATGGTATAAATTATCCTAAATTATAATAACAAGTAGGTACATACATTTAACCAAATCTGAGGGAGTCGACCGCCCATGTATATAGCAGCCATTAGCCACCCCAACCATTGCCCAAAGGCACTATGCTCCATTGAGTGTTCCTGCATATATGGGGTACCCTAGTATTAACCCTAATTAGTACTTTGATTAATATACATATATGTGATTAATTAGTCACCAATCAAACCTGCAAGAGTTTCCTCCCGGTAATTCCTATGTATACTTGTGTCAAAGCCTTTGTTTGTGATGGCAGGTTAAGCGATGTAGCCAGAAATGTTCCATAACCAGCTACCTGGAATTGCACGGTGAAAATTATAAAAGGAGTTAGTAAAGGAAACACTTTTGATTAGTTATTAATTACATATGATTTTGAAAATAAATAGTATACATACTGCAAGAATCCTTATTCTCTTAACTTTTCGTTACTAAATGATGTGACACGCAATATGACAGTTTTCTATTCATTATAAAATTAGCGGGATATGACAAAGTAAAAGGTAGAATTCTCCATTCATTATAAAATTAGCGGTATATGACAAAGAAAGAGGTAGAATTTAAGGGTGGACTGATGTTGCACATATTCCAAACCTTAATTAGAACAATTGGTAAAGTAGATAGTGATCAAGGTTTGGTAGTTGTTATGGCTTACCGATCTTGGGATTGGCCTAGGCTGGGTAACAGATGTCTTGGATGAAACTGGAGCTGACTCGTCCTCAGAAGATGAGTCACTATATAGTGCCATTGTAGAAGGACCACTTTTAGCTGCCCTCATGTAGGTCCGAAACGGTGGCGTACCACTGCCCGCCAACGATCTTGCTGACCTGTGAAAATTAACAAGAACTCGTTTTATCATCATGACCAAGTTAAGATGATTTGTCATAAGAAATTAATATGAAAATTACATCTTGCTATAATGGTACCCAAAAAAAAAAAACTACGTAGCAGTTTGTAGGAGAAGAAGGAGTACGTACGTATAGTAGAACTCTTTTCGTGGAGTGGGTTTGGGTGAGGCACTTGGTATTGGAATGCCTGAATCAGCCAACTTTGGATTCAATGGTCTCTTATTCTCTTCATCAACCTATACAAGTTGGGGTAAAACATACATTAAATTGATCACTAATTAGCCTCACGTATTATCTAGCAATAGTTTACTCTTAATTACACATATAATAACAATTAATTATTCTCTAAATAATTCATAGATCGAAGAAAATGAAAGTTTGTACCTCTTGGGTAGCTGTGACTTTTCCACATTTACACCATGTATAGATGTAGTCATAGTACACGCTCTGCAACACTAATACAATAGTGCTTGTTGTGTAGAGCTGTTTATATAAACAACAAGGACCAAAAAAGTGTTGCATATGATAAATTAATCATAAAATTAAAGTAACCAAAGTGATTAATTAATCATAAAATTAAATTGATTAATTAATGACCCTACCTTCATGCCTAGTCACTCCCCTAATTGACGGGCAGATTATGGACAGAGTTACCAAACAAAACAAATATAGGTCCCATTGTCCACACGTTATAGTATAAATGGATATTTGTTAATGTTATTTTCTAAAAAGGAGAAATATTAACCACGTCATCCACTCATATTATAACGCATGAACAAATTATAACATGTGACCGTACTACACTATAATTACTCCTGTAGTAGATTTAAAGTGTCATATATTGTAGTGCTATCATTTCTTGTAACAGGATGCAATATTACAAAGAGAACTAGCTAGTGTTTAATATTTTAATCCATTTTGGTGCAACATAGAAACATAACCCAAAATTAGAAAGGTGCAATTACCAGAGCTGTGTACAACTGGGTGGGCAACTGCATCCAAAAATGGCATAAGATTAGAACACTGAGAAAGTTGGCCCTAAAAAAAGAAAAATTCTGACAATATATAAAGATGGAGACCAGCCATGATCATAGAAATATAAAGATAGTGGTTTAACCAGAGCCAACCACACACTCTGATGGTTCTCTGGACCACCGGGCTAACGAACAAAGAAACTATGGCAGTATGGCTTAACTCACCGTTGCTGGTTCCAGAAGACAACCCATTAGATTAAACACATCCCTACATGAACCCAAAAGACACAGAACAACAAGAAAGAAAATTTAAAAAAAAGTTACTAAAGGAGAGATTCGAAATTGGGTTCTCTTTCAACAACGAGAAGAGAAATACTACTAAAGGAAGAGCTAGTTGGTAAGGAAAACGAACCCGGCAACCCAAGTGAGAAGGAAAGCAAGAGAGACTCCATGGCTGGACTTGGTGTGAAAGTTGGTGATGATTTGAGGGATTTCAGCGACTCCCCAACAGACTAAGCTGACCAGCCCGAAAGCAAAGGAGATGTCATCGTTGAGATTGCAAAGGCAATCCTTGAAATATTTCTCCACCCAACGATCACAGGGTTTGTTCTCTGCTACACAGTAAGAGAGTGGCATTCTCTCTCTCTACCTCTAGCTGGCTGTTGAGTTTTGTTTGTGGTCTTTCAGCTTCTGAAGGTGGTTGTTAGGAAGAGCGCAGAGAGAGAGAGAGGGAGAGAGTAGAGAAGTAAAATGACACAAAAACACAGAAGTACTGAATCATATAGGCCTAGAGTATGTCTCTATTCTTGTCTTTTCTTGGGTCCACTTGTAAATATTGTAAACGGGGCAAAGCTAAACATGTGGTACGCCTAGTATCTCTCAGAAGTTTCTGTGTCTGTTTGTTCAAGGAAAAAAGAAAACGTATTTATCTACACGTGGAGGGCAATGTGTGGGAAGCATATTCTTCACCATGATGCTTTTTTCATCTCCTAGCAACAATTAATATTAATAAATAAGAAGAAAGTATACTGAAAAAGTTCACACTGAGAAAGTGTTTCTAGATGATCCCAAGCGCTTCCCTTCTTTTTAAGTGCATGCTTCAAATGGACAAGAACATTTAGTAATATTGCTTTCTGAAAACCGTCTTCATATGTAAATCAATGACTTTTTCCTTGTGTTTCTAACTAACAATAATCTAAAAGTTTCAATAACAAGAATAATATTAGGGATTTAATTAGGGAAGTCATATATTCAACTCCTTAATTTTGTTTCTCCATGGAGCAATTATAATTTTTTTCCCCAAAGAAATTAAGAATCTTTGAGTCACGCTATCTTCATACAATCTCATGAGTCGAGTTATTTTTAATAAAAAAAGAAGAAATCAAACTTAGGATCTCGAGTGCATATATATAAATACTCTTAACCAATTAATTTACAAGTGTCCTACATTATCTTTAGTAATTTGGATTAAGCTCAATGGATGACCAACTTGATCAATGCGAATCTTTTTCATGCATATGCCTTCCCTCATGCTTGCATTGCTAGCTATGTAGCCGACATGATTTTGGGGTTCAGCATAACTCAATACTAATAAAGTTTAATAATGCAGATGGGGACAAAGATGTCATGAACATGTCAACATTCTTAAATAAAGGATCACTTGATATTTATATTTTGTTTTCTCTTTTTCGTTTCACCGCTTACGGGTCTCTATTAATATATATTTTTAGGTTTTTAGGTTTCATAGTTTTTAAATTTTGACCCAATTTATATTTTAGTCTTTCAATTTCCAAAATTATTTCAATGGTCCTTTAACTTTATTTTCATTAAGACATTTGGTTATACCATCAATTTTGTTATCTTTTTATGTTAAATACATGGACAAAAACGAAATAGATTAAGTGCACATGGCTAGCATTTGGGTAAAACAACAATGAAAATGATTGTTTTATTTCTACCTTCTTTTCTTTTCCTTCATCTCTCTCTCTCTCTCTCTCTCTTCTTTTTTTATTTCCCCTCTTGCATGGAAACATCTGATTACAAATTGGGTGCTATTGCATGATCCAAGATTCATATATTATTTGTTTTCTTCTTTAATCTAATATGCTTTAAAGATGAAGTCATGCAATAGGAATCTAATATTCATGCTCGGGTTTTATTTATTTATTAAGCCAAGCTGTGATCTTGTCGTTGCACCCATTCGTATCGTGGTATCAAATAAAGATCTTGAATTTCCTACTCCTCTTCCTTGCAAGTTGCAGCTACTTTACAGTTACGATATATATAGTTTATGGTATAAAAGGAAATAAATTAACTTATATTGTTATTATATCACGTAACGCGTATAAAAGCAGATGATTGGACGATGGCTTTGCGAGATGGAAGCAAATTATTCAAGTACTGGTCTTGTCACACATTAAATCGATGGTTTAATTTTTTGTCTAAAATATTTGTTTTCTCTCTCTCTCTCTCTCTCACTTTCCCGTGTTTTTCATACATTGAAAAGTTAAGGGATTTAATATGAGTTTATAAGGAGTTTAACTACTTTCTCTATTGTCAATTAATTTCGAGATGAAATCTCAACTTTCTTCTTAATATACATCAGTCATATAATCATAAATTTTTATATCCTAAATTACCATTTAAAGATTATTTTTTCGAAGAATCAATCCAACTATTCGACATCGTTTAATCATTTACATGTATCAAACAAATCAACGATTTTCATGACAAGCCGTCGCGTCTGTTTAATTGACTGCAGCAGCAACACATTACACATGCATGCATTTGAATTTTGAAGCAGCCAGGGCGGCCACGAAATAACAAGCATTGTGAACCAAACCCACCATGAAGACCAAATTCAAATGCATATATATAATACAGACAAAACAAACCAACAGCAGCAAGGTTTTCTAAAATCGCCAGTAATTCACTCGAACCTGGCTTCCATACTCATCCAGGTTCATCCATGCTTCACCTAAGAGCAAACATCTAAAATTAATCTGGTTCGTACGATAAATTTTATGACGTGGAGATGGAGGGGCACGGATGTTAATTCTGACAAGTCCGGGTCCCTTTGCAGTGTGTCATCAATGGCAATAAAGTTGGAAACAGCTTTTCTTTTTATTTTTCATCATTTGGTTTTCCATTTCATAAACAAAATAGTAGTCTTCCGAATCCGCATTCCGCACAGAGAAGAAGATAACAAAAGGAAGGCAAAAAGAAAAGACAAAGGAAAACAGCTGTGGAGGAGAAGATGAGAATAACAACCGTTTAAAATTTGATCCCTTTACACGAAAGCAAAACGACAAAACACACGGAGACGGTTCGCTGCAACTTGGCTATTAAGCATATCGCACACGTGTGTCAATGTCACTTCGTCCTTATCTTCATTTCCCCACTATGTTTTTTTTCTTTTGTTGGTCAGAATCGATAACGTTTGAGGTTTTTTTTATACAAATTTATAAATAAACTCAATTCTAGACATGTATTTATAAAAAAACTCAAATACTATTTAAACATAGAAACACACCCAAAATCAATCCCAAAGTCAACTTTTTGGGTGTGTTTATAAATGGGTTTTGAGTGTGTGTAATGATAGGTTTTGGGTGTGTTCATATGTTTAAATAGTGCTTGGGTTTTTTTATAATTTCAACCCCCATTTTGAGTGTTTTAGTGAAACTCCCTTTTTTTTAAAGGAGGCGTGTCTGAAATTTTAAGGTAAAATGAATTGAACCATATAATTATATATGGAGAGAGCGAACAAGTTGAAAAGGATGTATGTAGTATGGCGTTTTTACTTGGGCAACTTGGGTTTGATTTTGTAGGAAATGGTCTCTTGTAGCATTGCGGCAACTGGTGCTGCTTGAATACGACAGGTATGAATTAATAAAATTAATTCGAGGTTAAGACGGCAAAGGGTTTCGCTGTGTATGATTAAGAAATATGACATTGTGTTCAGTCTACATCAAGTAATTAGCATAAACCCATGCTCATGCATAAACTCGTGTATTAAATTGCAAACTTCGAAATGGGTAAGGGCCATGGGAACTAATTCTTCAAGGTTAATTTGGGTAAGGCCCATGGGCTAGACATCCAGAGCCTTGCAGAAGGCCAGGCCATGATCTTCGAGTCCACAAACGCATCAAAAACCCACATGTACATTTGTTTTTTGGGCATTCATTAAGACAATGGATTGACAATGAAAGAGATATTGTTCAGCTAGCTTCCGTTATTGGAGGCATATATGGCTCAAATATATGGCAATGGATTGACAATGAAGGTAATCTTTTCTGTCTCAATGTTGATAGACTTGTCTTAGATTGGCTCATGGGTTGAATTGATTGTGAAATTCTAACAAATTTAGGCCAATACTAGTTTTCTGACTATTGAAATCATCTGAAGGTCAAAACAGACCCAATTAAGTCTCTGTTTACACAAAATAATTTTGGTGTAATGTCATAAGCTCGACCAGTCTTGTGGTATTATTCTTTCCTTTTTTCGTTTGGCCTACAAAATTGTTAGGTCCAAAACATCATTTTCATTAGCACCATTTTCTCAATTTACCATAATTAATCACATCACAACTGCCAGACCCACCCACCTCACACACATTCTATCAATTTCTTTTCAATTTCTTCCTTGGAATCCATAATCGGAGAGATACTAGATTTGTCTATTTTTATTTTATTTACCAAAAACAGTCTTACCTGCTACAATTACAATGATAGAGGACTAACTGAGAGAATTTTGGAGACACAAGAAAATAGTTCCAAAAAAGAGATCGAGGAGTTAGAGAGAAGTGGGCTGTGGAGCATAGCCTAAACAAACTTTTTATCTAATTGTGTGTTAGGCCAGTTAGTCTGGGCAATGAGTCTGTTCCCTTATACTCAAATTCGAGTCTAACTCCCCTTAAATTAAATTAATTTAAAGTATAATATTTTCTTTTGTCTAATTAACCTCTAATCAAATTTTGTACTCACACAAATAAATTAATATATATATATATATTGTTTTGTGTAGAATTGGGTCCAAAATCTTAAACTAAGTCAAGTTTCTTATTTTGTGGTAATACGATATAGTCTTCGTAAGAGAAACTTGCATGCTCTGATTTCATTGCTCCTATTGCACGAGAGGAGGGAGACAGAAAAAAAGGGACCAATGAAGCCGGGGTAGGGAAGTATTTTTCTTACATAAAGCTACACATGAGTCTAGGATCAAACTTAGCTTTGCTTTGAGTAAAGCTACAACAAGTATTGATCATATACAAATATCACAAATTTATGTTTATACTATGTGGAACATAACAACTTTAAGGTACCTTATGTCGACTTTAAGGTCAAAAGCTATACATCCAATTGAAAACTCCATCAACCTTACTAACACTGAAATTAAGGCCAAGAGTGAAGAATTTTACCAACATAAAACATTTTTTGTTTTGTTTGTTTTTGGTATAACTTGAGTCGCCAGTTTCATAGGCCCCATGGAAATTAAAGCGTATGGGAACCATCCAAATGTCAGTGACCAATCAATTCTTGTTGGGACCTTAGGAAGTTTCCATGCACCTTCCTCCCTTAAGTCCTCTCCACCTAAAAAGTCTCTGTAAGCGTATTCTTTTCCTCACCGCCCTGCAATTTCACTGCAGCTCCCAATACTTCAAAAGCTTCAATTATGCTCAAATAAATCAAACCTCTCATTTTTCTTTTTTCTGCCTATATAAGACGTGACACACTTGAACAGAAAACACCAACTCTCTAGTTCTAATAATTTCTCTCCACCAATGGCAACAACAACTGACAGTAGGGCAATCTCCAAACCCTCCAAATGGTTCTCTAACAAAAGTCTCAAGCTCAGCTTCCCCGGTCGAAGATCATCCAAATCTAGCCCTAAATCTCCTCTGTCCCCGACCAGTGCTCCAGTTGGGCCAATCAGTCCACGATGGACAAGCAGGGAAGATGAGCTTAGAGAAGTTTTTCGCTATTTCGATGGAGATGGCGATGGCAAAATATCAGCCTCCGAGCTCAGAGCCTATTTTGGGTCCATAGGTGAGTACATGTCGCATGAGGAGGCTGAGGCTGTGATCAAAGATCTTGATGCAGATGGAGACAGCCTGTTAGACTTTGAAGACTTTCTGCAGCTGATGGGCAGAGGAGGAGGAGACGACGAGGACTTGAAGAAGGCCTTCGAGATGTTTGAATTGGAGAAGGGGGTCATAACCCCCAGAAGCTTGCAGAGGATGCTGCATAGGCTTGGTGACAGCAAGTCATATCATGAGTGTGTCACCATGATTCAAGTTTTTGATACTGATGGCAATGGGGTGGTTGATTTTAATGAGTTTCATCGAATGATGGCTTAACTTAATTAAGTTCATGGTTGATGATTTAATAATGTCTAGTTAGTCGTAAATATGTATATGCATGGATGTGTTGTGTGGTTCTATCATGGTCCTTCTTTATGGAGTTGGAACATTTCTATATTCATGTTGCAATACTTAAACTTAAATTTGCCATTTTTTTAGTGGTAAGAGTTTGAGTTGAGCACAAACATAATGAGAGCTCAAGAGAAACTGTAAACCGAATCGCGAAGAAACATACACACATTTAAGACACTATACATACGTAAACAAAATCGCTAATTGAGAGTATGGATCTAGCCTTTATAATCTAAAACCCATTAAAAAGTCTATTAGATCCTCACTTTGATAGACACGTTAATCCATATTCCTAGGAAAACCACATAGGACAAATTCCAAGGTAGGAAAGATGACTAGTTAATATCATATTTAGTTTCAATATATTAAATCTGAAATTCATTAATAAACTTAAATTGGCTCATAAATTTCTTACATGAGCAGGAAGAAGGTAGTTGTAAAGTTTTCAATGATACTTGCAGACAAAGCGTGATGTGGGTTTGCTTTGTTTTCAAGGAAGCTTGAGCTTTTGTTGCAACATTGATATATGTATATATTGCAAATTTAGAAGGAGCATATATTCAGATTTGAAGAGCCCCATGATGCCATCTGTAAAATGCTTAAAGCTGAAGCAAAGTTATGAGGATCTGAGGAAAAGAAAATTGAGATATAAGCTTTATAGACCAGAAAACAACCTTTAGTTTTCTTTTTGTGACATAATTGTTGAAGCTAGCTACCAGGAAAGTAGAGTCAATCCGTGACAATCATAAACATCAGAGTGCACTCAAAACTGTGTGAAATTAAAATTTAAAACCTCCACAGTAAACTAATTTCTTCTTCCTCTAAATCATGTCCAATTTCGTTTCCATATATATTATCTTCCTCTCTTCTTCTTAAGTTCAAAGTGGAAGGTGGAGATGCATGCCACAGCACAATTTGAATTAGGTTTATGGCTTAGAAAATTCAATAAGATTAGTCGTGTCAAAAATCAAGTGGAGGAACTAAATGCTACATATCCTTATTCTACGATATTAATTATTAGAGAAGTATTATATTATTTAGTCTTAATTATTGGTTACTTAAGAAAATAACACGTAGTCATCCCTATGACATCTTGGTTGTATGTGTGTATAAGAAATCATTATTCCTATAATTTAGACTATTATTTATACTATTAAAAAAGGGAAAAAGAAAGAGAAGATAATACGTAAAGGTCTCAATTTAAAGTAAACCTACTAGATGATGACCAGTCTATGAACCTTCGCAAATGGTATCCAACATACGTGAGGCACAATTGATGTCAAAATGACTTCATATATTGGTCGGTTTGAAGTTTTGAAGCAGGCCAAGGGATAAGAACCAAGCCCTAGAAATTTGTCAGATTGTTTGATTCTTATGTTGTTAGATTACGAATCAAGATGCTTGATTGAGTTTAGTTTTCTTTCGGTTACAAATTAGGATTATTTAAGGACGAAAGTATGAATTTCACAAAAGTGAGCTATAATTCTTTTTATGGTCTATTATGTGTTGATGAATGGCTAACTTTGTCTTGGGAGTTGTGGAGCTAAAGTCCACCCTAGTCTGAGTGTACTTTCGTCTTTGAATTTATTTTTATTCGAATGTATAGGTCAAATTCACACTTAGATAAAAATAAACATTATTGAAGTCTAAGAACTTATTTGGGAGTGACTTTAGGAAGGCTAGAATTATTTATGGAGAGAAACACTTACCAAGTGCTTCTCCATATAATCACTTTAATTGATTTTAAGTGATTCTAGGGAGAAGCACTTCTCATGTGCTTCTTCATAAAATCACTTTGGGCCAGTTTGAAGTTGCTGTGCTGTGAAAATAATTGCTGTCAGATTTGCTGTGAGAGAAAACAACTGTGAAAGAAAACTATTTGGCATTTTGTTAAAAGTGATGTTGGTACAATAATCAGTTTTTAAGTGTTTTGTAAATTTTTATGTGAAAATGTTGTGAGTTGTGTATAATAAATAAAAAGAACATTATGGTGAAATAACTCTTCTATGCAAGTGTTTAAAATTCTCCACTTAAATAATAAAATTATTTAGGGGAATGGTCTTTGGTTTGAAATGGAGCATTTAACAATCAGTCCACGATGGACAAGCAGGGAAGATGAGCTTAGAGAAGTTTTTCGCTATTTCGATGGAGATGGCGATGGCAAAATATCAGCCTCCGAGCTCAGAGCCTATTTTGGGTCCATAGGTGAGTACATGTCGCATGAGGAGGCTGAGGCTGTGATCAAAGATCTTGATGCAGATGGAGACAGCCTGTTAGACTTTGAAGACTTTCTGCAGCTGATGGGCAGAGGAGGAGGAGACGACGAGGACTTGAAGAAGGCCTTCGAGATGTTTGAATTGGAGAAGGGGGTCATAACCCCCAGAAGCTTGCAGAGGATGCTGCATAGGCTTGGTGACAGCAAGTCATATCATGAGTGTGTCACCATGATTCAAGTTTTTGATACTGATGGCAATGGGGTGGTTGATTTTAATGAGTTTCATCGAATGATGGCTTAACTTAATTAAGTTCATGGTTGATGATTTAATAATGTCTAGTTAGTCGTAAATATGTATATGCATGGATGTGTTGTGTGGTTCTATCATGGTCCTTCTTTATGGAGTTGGAACATTTCTATATTCATGTTGCAATACTTAAACTTAAATTTGCCATTTTTTTAGTGGTAAGAGTTTGAGTTGAGCACAAACATAATGAGAGCTCAAGAGAAACTGTAAACCGAATCGCGAAGAAACATACACACATTTAAGACACTATACATACGTAAACAAAATCGCTAATTGAGAGTATGGATCTAGCCTTTATAATCTAAAACCCATTAAAAAGTCTATTAGATCCTCACTTTGATAGACACGTTAATCCATATTCCTAGGAAAACCACATAGGACAAATTCCAAGGTAGGAAAGATGACTAGTTAATATCATATTTAGTTTCAATATATTAAATCTGAAATTCATTAATAAACTTAAATTGGCTCATAAATTTCTTACATGAGCAGGAAGAAGGTAGTTGTAAAGTTTTCAATGATACTTGCAGACAAAGCGTGATGTGGGTTTGCTTTGTTTTCAAGGAAGCTTGAGCTTTTGTTGCAACATTGATATATGTATATATTGCAAATTTAGAAGGAGCATATATTCAGATTTGAAGAGCCCCATGATGCCATCTGTAAAATGCTTAAAGCTGAAGCAAAGTTATGAGGATCTGAGGAAAAGAAAATTGAGATATAAGCTTTATAGACCAGAAAACAACCTTTAGTTTTCTTTTTGTGACATAATTGTTGAAGCTAGCTACCAGGAAAGTAGAGTCAATCCGTGACAATCATAAACATCAGAGTGCACTCAAAACTGTGTGAAATTAAAATTTAAAACCTCCACAGTAAACTAATTTCTTCTTCCTCTAAATCATGTCCAATTTCGTTTCCATATATATTATCTTCCTCTCTTCTTCTTAAGTTCAAAGTGGAAGGTGGAGATGCATGCCACAGCACAATTTGAATTAGGTTTATGGCTTAGAAAATTCAATAAGATTAGTCGTGTCAAAAATCAAGTGGAGGAACTAAATGCTACATATCCTTATTCTACGATATTAATTATTAGAGAAGTATTATATTATTTAGTCTTAATTATTGGTTACTTAAGAAAATAACACGTAGTCATCCCTATGACATCTTGGTTGTATGTGTGTATAAGAAATCATTATTCCTATAATTTAGACTATTATTTATACTATTAAAAAAGGGAAAAAGAAAGAGAAGATAATACGTAAAGGTCTCAATTTAAAGTAAACCTACTAGATGATGACCAGTCTATGAACCTTCGCAAATGGTATCCAACATACGTGAGGCACAATTGATGTCAAAATGACTTCATATATTGGTCGGTTTGAAGTTTTGAAGCAGGCCAAGGGATAAGAACCAAGCCCTAGAAATTTGTCAGATTGTTTGATTCTTATGTTGTTAGATTACGAATCAAGATGCTTGATTGAGTTTAGTTTTCTTTCGGTTACAAATTAGGATTATTTAAGGACGAAAGTATGAATTTCACAAAAGTGAGCTATAATTCTTTTTATGGTCTATTATGTGTTGATGAATGGCTAACTTTGTCTTGGGAGTTGTGGAGCTAAAGTCCACCCTAGTCTGAGTGTACTTTCGTCTTTGAATTTATTTTTATTCGAATGTATAGGTCAAATTCACACTTAGATAAAAATAAACATTATTGAAGTCTAAGAACTTATTTGGGAGTGACTTTAGGAAGGCTAGAATTATTTATGGAGAGAAACACTTACCAAGTGCTTCTCCATATAATCACTTTAATTGATTTTAAGTGATTCTAGGGAGAAGCACTTCTCATGTGCTTCTTCATAAAATCACTTTGGGCCAGTTTGAAGTTGCTGTGCTGTGAAAATAATTGCTGTCAGATTTGCTGTGAGAGAAAACAACTGTGAAAGAAAACTATTTGGCATTTTGTTAAAAGTGATGTTGGTACAATAATCAGTTTTTAAGTGTTTTGTAAATTTTTATGTGAAAATGTTGTGAGTTGTGTATAATAAATAAAAAGAACATTATGGTGAAATAACTCTTCTATGCAAGTGTTTAAAATTCTCCACTTAAATAATAAAATTATTTAGGGGAATGGTCTTTGGTTTGAAATGGAGCATTTAATATTAAAGTAAATTTAGGTTTTAGCCAAAAAAAAAATTTCACTTTTGGAAAAAACCGAAGCTTTTTAAAAAAAGACAGAAAAACTTCTCAACTTTCAAATCAAAGACATGCAAATATAAAGGATTCCTTAGGAAATCCAAAAATAAATAAGGGTAATTTTGTCTATTTTTGCTTATTTTACAAACTTTCTCTCTCCTTTGTGTTTTTCCAAAGTCTCTCTTTAATTAAAAAGCATCATTTTTTTTTTCTTTTTACTCAAGTTGTTGTTATCTTTGTAGCATGAAATGAAATGGGTTGGGTTTCACTCTCTCAAGTCTTCTCTAATAAGAAATAAGAATTTGGTTCTTACCAAATAGGAACAAGGAATTGTCCATTTAAATAATTGAATTATGGGGTCCATATTGGTTTTTGGATTACCTTTAAGAAAAGCAAATTATTTCTTGTTCAATGCAAAAACCTTTACCATTCGATAGTGTTTAAAGCCTTTTCTTCATTAGTAAGATAGTAACAAAGGGGAAAATGAGTCATGGCTGCTTTGTCTCACGCCTTTCCAATCATTCTATCTTCCAGTTGTTATTGCCGAATCAGTAATCTGAATGTAAATCACAAGGTTTGTTTTTTGGGTTTCTCCAGAGAATGAGTGACTATGAAATCGACATTTCTGGGGTTTAAAGGAAGAAGGATAAATGGAAGAGAAGGTGAAAAGGGAGCTATGATGAACGTGGAAGAGAGCGATGGGAAGGAGAAGAGAGACGCGAGCGTGAAATAGATGGGGTTATTTTCATAATTTTGAAATTTTCATTATAGTCCAGTGTGCTCCCAAAACTGATTATCGCATAATAAAAAAAAGAAGAAAAAAGTAGCTCATTAGCTGCTTTCCCTAATTGCTTTCTCTCACAACAATTATTTACAAGAAGTGATTTTTTTATCTTTTACCAAACAGGCTGAGTTTTTAAAAATTTCAAAATAATCACTTATGGTTCCCAAATAAGCAATGCCAAATGGCACTTAGGCCCTGTTTGGGATTGCTTTTTTTGGCCAAAAACCTGCTTCATTTTAAAGTTAAGCAGTTTAAGGTGTTTGGTAAAAATAAAATATCCCAATTATTTTAAAAGCAGTGGCCTTTTGACAGTAGCTTTTAAAAGCAGACTCTGGGTTGCTTTTCAAAACTGCTTTCAAAAGAAACAGAGACGAACTTTTAATGAATTTTTTTAATACAAATTTATAAATAAACCCAATCCTAGACATGTATTTATAAAAAAAACCAAAGCACTATTTAAACATAGAAACACACCCAAAATCAACCTCAAAGTCAACTTTTTGGGTGTGTTTATAAATGAGTTTTGAGTGTGTGTAATGATGGGTTTTGGGTGTGTTTATAAAGTGTTTTGGGTGTTGGGTTTTTTTTTTATAATTTCAACCTCTATTTTGGGTGTTTTACCTCCATCACCACCACCACCACCACCACCACCACCTCCTCCTCCTCCTCCAAAACCTCCACATCCACTACCATCTCCATAACCAACACCACAATCACCACCATGCTGCCACTACCACCACCACCACCACTACCACAATCACCAACTCCACCTTCATCACCACCACTATCTCTACTCCATCACTACCACTACCACCACATGATGAGTACATAACACTTTTAACATCATGTCTATTTTAGTCATTATTCACAGTTACAACAATTTTATATTAAAATTTACCAAACGATTTTAACACTGCTTTTTGTACTAACAGCACTTTAAAAATATTGTTTACCAAATATGGAGCTGCTTTACTTTACAGTTAATTATTTTCAAAGCACAGCAGAAACAACTTCTTTTAAAAGTGACAGCAATCCCAAATGAGCCCTAATTCACTAGAAAAATAATGTACCGAATTAAAAGGCTTCTAAAATGAGGGCCAGCCAAGAAACACGAGGCCCAAAAAGCGAAAACCCATTATTGTTTGGGGAGGGCCCATTTGAAAGGGAATCAAAGCTCTGTTTTCGCTTTATGCACAACTGTACGAGGAAGCTAAGACGAAAACACGGCCCCCAGGTGTGCCCTGCACGTGCAGCTATCGTTAGGTGGAAACACACATGGGGGGGGCTACTCAAAAATAAAAAAAATTCCAACCTTACATTCCAGCCCCCACTTCCCAGTCGTAGTCTTGAGGTGGAGAAAGAAACCATGAAGAAATAATAGCGAAAAAGAATTGAAGGCTGGGAATTTGGAGAAGATGGGTTTTGCTGAATTGGTGGCTGCGACTGTTGCATATGAAGCAGAAGCAGAAGCAGAAGCAGGATCAAGCGCCAGTAGGGCTCGTGCCACCTTTCAATGGGGTGGAACCATCTTTGCCTTGTTAGTCACTTCACTATTCAATTTCACCTTTTTTTTTCCTTCTTTCTTATTTTATTTTTGGTTTAGGTTGGTTTACTTGGATTGGATGCATATGGTGGTGGAAAGAATGGCTACATCTGCAACTTTTTTTAAAATTATATTGATTTTGTATTCTGTATTGGTTTAACAGTAAAACATGAGAGAACCCCCATTTTAAACTCCAATAATTTATCTTGGCAAGCCGTGAAATTCTTAATGATGACTAAAGCACAGTCATTTCCTTTCTTCCTATTATATTTCAATTAAATTTATTATTAATCTCTTGTGAATGGTCCCTGAATCACGACTGCTTTGGTTTTCGTCTAATGTCCGTGGTTGTCACTGTTGTTTTGTCATCAATGATTATGAGTATGATATGATTGGTCTGTGAAGGATGTTTTAGCACTTGTGGAACAGCAATCCTTGTTTTGTGTTCTTTTTTTTGTCCATTAATCTGTTCTGTGTTTCACTATACAAATTTCAAAACTTCAGATCTCTGGGGCAAGACTGCTAGGACATAATTTTGTTGTATGTGAATGCTACTGGGGCATTGCATATGTTTTTGGCTTTGTTTACGAGTATGCTAGGTTGTTTGACTTGATATTCTCTCCATGAAGATGAAGATGAAGATGAAGATCAACTCTTCTCGGTGACATATGTAGCTAACTGCAGAACCACATGCTTCTTTTGTCTTCAGGAGTCTTTAGATATATTACATTCGAATTGGTTCTCACTATTCACGTGTTGATGCTCTGTTTTCAACCTGTCTCTTACTGTGGTTTTTTGCCGTATCCTATACTGTGTACAGAATTTTGTTAATCTTGAACCGAGTAGGGCGGAGATCAGCCATGCAAAGTAGCCTTCTTGTACTGTTCTTATTTACGAGCTTCCCGACGGTGTTATTCAAAATTTTGAGGTGGTTCTTGCCAATTCCTTTTTAATTTCATATATTACGCCCACGTCCACTAAACTTACACATCAAAGTGTGCAGGGGACAATTTGGTCGTTGGGTTTCCTTTCTTGCTGTTGCTGCAAACCTCATCTTTCCTCGAACTTTTCCAGGTCTTTTTTTTATATCCTCTTGAGTCGCACTTATGTCTACAGATTGTGTTGTTATTTTAGATTTCGGTTTCTGATGATTATGTACGTGCACAGTTTCTCGGTTTCTCCTATTTGTCGTCCCACCTACTTTGGTGGCAAACGGACTGCGCGATAGCATCGTGGGCTGCATCTTTTGTCTAATGATTGGAGTTTTGCTCTTCGTAACAGAGATTCGAGGAATTGGAGGTTTTAGTAACTGTCGCTGTAATTTTCATTGTTTTGCTTATTGTCTCTGTATTGCATTTCTCTTCTTCTTTACAATATTGTATCTATGCTCAGAAACTTGGTAGGAAAAGGAGGAGAAAACATGCCTTCTAGATCAGGAAATGTAATTCTAGATTATTCTTGGCCTGTGATGGACTCAGAGATGTTAATGAAGATTCCACCTATATTAATCAAGATTTTTAGTTTCTATTTTTTTGATTTTGTCCTAGGAGTTGGGTGAACTGGATTGAATGGCCATAAGCTGCAGCATTCTTGAGACACAGGGCAAGAACTCTGATGCTAATCAAAGGTGTTCTTAATGTTTCTCTCTAATAACTGAAATATATTAATGAGCCTCATAAAATATTTATCACTAATCCCACTGAAAAGGATGTTAGAGTTGCGGGTCTTTCTGCATCAGATGTTTCAGATTAGAAATATGGGGGACTAGTGAGTAATTGGAACTTATGTTGGTCAGAGACTTAAAGCAGCCTTCAAGCACCATCAGTTGACATTGTTTATAAAATTGCGAAACTGATCTTATTGGTTCAACTTCAAGACCAAACCTTTTGTAGATGACTTAAGGATCTCTTAATCAATACAGATACGTGTCGAAGATTAGTATTATAATACAAACCCAACCTCGTTAATAAGAATAGAAAAATCTTTTTATTAATTGAAGATAAACTCCGCTTACAGATCATGTATTCTTTCTGCTATGGATATCATGTTTTGTTTATACAAGTTGAACCCTGATAATGGGGAGGCTGGTCAACCAAGACAACTATTAAGAAAAAATCAACTAGACAATCTTCTTCAATCCACCCTGCTTGGTATAAGTTAGTGCCAATAATTCAACACAAAAATAATTACCAGGAAATTTCATGGTAGAAACGTCCGTTTCAAGGGACCCACAAAAACATTGGAATATATTCCAACTATAGTCTCAACCTTTTTTTCTTGCCAGAGCACACCTTTCAATTCCAAGAAAAATGAGTTTCCTCTCTCTCATCTTCTCTGCCATCATTCTCACCACTTTCTGTTGCAGTTCTTTGATTGTTGCTCAGCAGCCTTATGAGGGCCAGGCGTTTACAGATTGTTACAACACAAACACTTACTCAAAATCTGTTCTTGGGTACAGCTGCAATGGAGTGAACAAAAGTTGCCAAACTTACCTCACATTCAGATCCCAGCCTCCTTACAACAGTGTTTCTGCAATCTCTGCTATGTTGGCTTCTGACCCGTCTCAGATTGCGGAGATAAATTCGGTTTCCGAGACTGCAACATTTGAAACGAACAAGTTGGTGATTGTTCCAATCACATGCTCCTGCTCAGGTGATTTCTATCAGCTAAACACATCTCATGTTGTTGTGCACGGTGATACGTATTTTGTAATTGCAAATAACACTTTGCAAGGCCTCTCAACATGTCAAGCTATGATGAACCAGAATACTAATCTCACTACAAAAGAGTTGTATTCTGGTACTAGACTTAGTGTTCCTCTTAGATGTGCTTGTCCCACAAAGAACCAAACCGATGTGGGGACCAAGTATCTTTTGTCTTACATAATCGCTCAAGGGGATTATGTTTCAAAGATTAGTGCTAGATTTGATTCGGATACCGGAAGAACTCTTGAAGCTAATGGGCTTTCTGAGCAAGTCTCTACCATTTATCCCTTCACCACACTTTTAGTTCCTTTGCAAAACCCTCCATCTAGTTCTCAGACCATAGAGCCACCCTCATCATCACCATCACCTCCGGCGCCACCTTCAACTTCCTCTAATAACTCAACGAAAAAATGGGTTTATGCCTTTGTTGGGGCTCTTGGAGGAGGTGCTTTTGTGTTGGTCATAGGCATCATTATCTTCTGCACATTCTTTCGCAGAAGCAGAGGTACGAAGGGTGTCAATTCAATTATTGTCTCGGAGAGCTTTGAGGCACTTGAGAAACCACTAGAGAAAAAGGAGGAAAAAGGATCTCAGGACTTCTTAGAGGCTCTATCTGGCATAGTTCAATCCCTCAAAGTTTACAAATTTGAGGAACTGCAACGCGCAACAGATGACTTTAACTCCACTTATTTGATTAAGGGGTCTGTGTATCGTGGAAACTTCAATGGGGATTTGGCAGCCATCAAAAAAATGAATGGAGATGTGTCCACAGAGATAAATTTACTAAACAAAACCAGCCATTCTAATCTCATTTGCCTGTCAGGAGTTTGCTTTCATGATGGACATTGGTATCTTATCTATGAGTATGCTGTCAATGGACCCTTGAGTGATTGGATCTATTACAGCAACAATGAGGGGAAATTTCTGAATTGGACACAAAGAATACAGATTCTGTTGGATGTGGCCTCAGGGCTTAATTATCTCCACAGCTTCACCACTCCTCCCCATGTCCACAAGGATATAAAGAGCAGTAACATTCTTCTTGACAGTGACTTCAGAGGCAAGATTGCAAGCCTAGGTCTAGCAAGGTCAACTGAAGCGCCGGAAGGTGAGGTTCCTTTGACAAATCACATTGTTGGAACAATAGGATACATGGCTCCTGAGTACATGGAGAATGGTTTGATCTCCACAAAGCTTGATGTCTATGCATTTGGGGCTCTCATGCTAGAAATACTCACCGGAAAAGAGGTTGCTGTGCTTTATGAGGAAAATAGACAATTGTCTGATGTATTAAACTCTGTGCTGAACGACGAAGATGGCCATCAGAGTTTGAGGCACTTCATTGATCCTTCTATGCAATGGAGTTATCCTCCAGAACTTGCTCTTTTTGTGATCAGATTGATCCATGGTTGCTTAAATAAAAACCCCGCAGCTCGCCCGGCAATGGAGGAGATGGTACAGTTTCTCTCAAGAACTATGAGCAATTCACTCAGTTGGGAATTGTCAAGCAACATCTCAGGCGACCAAGGTACAGAGGGATTTCTTGATGGTAGAGAAACTAGGACAGGATCTCAATCAACTACTTAGTTTAGTCAACTTAGATTGTATTGTAATTTACTGTTAGTTTTGTTCTTTTAGAAATACGGCAGTTAAGATTCGTCCGATACTTCTTGTTCCTCGTTATTCTAAAGAAATAAGGTAATTTGTTGCATTATACATCTGGTTATAGTCCATTAAACAATGTCCTATGTGCAGAATTATCTATTAATAACAAAATAATTAATTATTGAGGCATAAGAAGTTGATCATGGCTTATGGGGATGCAGCAGAAATCATATAAAGACAAAACCTGGGGTAAATATTCTAGAAGAGATAAAGGAAGGAGTGACAGGAACTTTTTGATCAAGAAAAATGATCAGTTTCTTGCAGAATATATGAATTATGGAATTGGTTATACCTTGAAGCTTAAGTTAAAGACCTTACCATAGGTATTTTTTTTTGTTAAACAACCAGGTCTACGGCATTCATTTCTCTTATTAGAGAATTATTTCTAGAAGGGGTTTTTTTTAATCAAATAGAGTTGGCCAAGTCAAGAGTGCTACAAAGCATTGATTCCCCCTATAGTCCTACCCTAAACTCCCTTAGTAAATGAAGCATTGCTTCTTTAAATAAGATTAAAATCAAATATAAGTTAAACTTGGGCCCCAACCTGGGTTGGTTTTTCTGGGAAAATTCCCACCTGATAAGCCTAGTTAGTCAACTTAACTACAAAAACCTATTATTCAAAACAATATGTACGCGGTAATGCTGATGTTGCAGAAATTATATTGCCAAAGACTTCTTTCGCATCTTCAACACTTGAAGTTTCTCCTCTGCCAAAAGTCCTCTCACAGAAAGAAACTTGATCATGGATTGCTCCCTACTCAGGTTCTTACTTTTGCTGCTATTCACTCCAAAACTCAAAGCTCAACAAAGTTATGCAGAAAACTCAGCTCTTGATTGTGCTGACAGTGATGACAGAGGATCACTCCCAACTTTTCTTTACACCTGCAATGGTGAAAAGAAATCCTGCAAGGCTTTCTTGATTTTTCAATCTCAACCCCCTTACAATTCAGTCTCTGCCATATCAAACCTTACCGCTTCAGACAAATCTGAGCTTGCCCGAATCAACAACATCTCAGATCATACACTTGTGCTGCCTCAAAACAAAGAGGTGATTGTTCCTGTAGTCTGTTCTTGTTCAGGTGAGTACTATGAGGCTAAAGCCTCTTATCTTATTCCCAGTATTGATGACACCTACTATACGATAGCAACTGATACATATCAGAGTATGTCTACGTGTAATGCTCTGATGCACGAAAACAATTATAGTGCATTAAGCTTGCAACCTGGTTTTGAGTTACAGGTACCACTTAGATGTGCTTGTCCCACAAGCAATCAAACTTTCAATGGTACAAAATTTCTGTTGACTTACTTGGTCAGCTGGGGCGACTCTGTCCCTGTAGTTAGTGAGAGATTTAATGTAAGTGCCAAGAGTGTGGCTTATGCAAATGGGTTTACAGAAGATGACCCTCTATTGTATGCATTAACACCAATTCTAGTTCCACTGTCAGTGGAGCCTTCAAGCTCTCAAACCATTATTCACTACCCACCAGGGCCACCACCACCCCTTTCTCTTCCAGTTACTCCGATTCATGGAAACAGAAGGTCAAAGAAAGCATATGTTTGGATTGGAATTGGAATTCTTGTGCTAATTCTTTGTTTGGCTATCTTTGGGGTGTTTCTTTATCACCAGAAAAGGGTTTCTCAAAATAATATAGAAGGAAAAAAGAAATGGGTCTTGCGTGAAAGTTTCTTTGTTACCATTGCTGAAGAAGTTGATGTTGGGTTGAAAGTCTTCGAATACGAAGAATTGAAAGGTGCTACAGAGGATTTCAGCAACAAGAACTGCTTAGGTGGCTCTGTCTATCGTGGGTTTTTTGATGGAAAAGTACTAGCCATAAAACAGATGAGCAAAGATGCAACTGAGGAGGTGAAATTACTGAAAAAGATCAACCACTTCAATCTGATCAGCCTTTTCGGTGCATGTGAACATTGTGAGGATTTCTATCTTGTGTATGATTTCATGGAGAATGGTTCCTTAAGAGATTGGCTGAAGAAAGAAAGTTGTCCAGAAGTTCCGAGTTGGAATCATAGGGTTCAGATTGCTTTGGACATTGCCGATGGGCTCCACTATCTGCACAACTTCATCTATCCTGCTTATGTGCACAAGGGTATTAGCAGCACCAATGTTTTGCTCAACGAAGATTTACGGGCAAAGATAGCAAATTTCAGTCTCGCACGATCAGCAGAGAAGGAAGCAAATAGGAATTCATCTACATGGTATGCCCAGGTATCAAAAGGTTATTTGGCACCGGAATATATAGAACATGGATTGGTGACACCTGCAATTGATGTATATGCCTTTGGGGTTGTTCTGCTGGAATTGGTAACAGGAAAAGAAGCTGTGTTCTTGCAGGATGGTGTAGAAGTGCTTCTTTCAGAAGCAGTATTTACAACAATGGGAGGAGGAAATGCAGAAGCAATATTTTCGTTAATGGCAGGAGGAAATGCAGAAGCTCACCCTGATAGGCTAATGGACCCTAATTTAAATGCGGAGCATTGCATGGAGTTTGCAGTACGAATGATAAAGCTAAGTCTAGCCTGCTTGGCTGAAGAGCCAGAAAGCAGACCAAGAATCCATCAAGTACTCTCATCCTTGATAAAAATACAATTGGATACAGAAAAAGCAAAATATTTTTGTAAAACAATAGTCTAGTAGCAAAAGTATGTATCACACGAGTACTGTTCTTCTGTATCATGTATGTGTAACCATTGCACGACATGAAATTTTTTTTTGTTGTCAACTATTATTGCCATTAAGTTAAAACAACAACCTCCTATTTCCATCAAAAGTTGAGAAAATAAAAGAAAAAGAAAAGACAGAAAACCTTTACATAAATTATTGAAAGAATAGAAACACCCAAAGATATTAAGTACCTCAAAGTCTAGAGATGACTTATAAATCATAGTACTTGCTCCCAGCCTAAATCAGCGAGTTTCGACTGGAATGACTACTTCCACAATGCTATCTGTTTTAAACTTTGAAGTTGAAAATTTATGCATTGTCTTAGGGGATGACTGAGCTAGTACAGAGAGGTTCAAAACGACTTCAGCCAAACTTGGCCTTGCCTGAGCATTTTCTTGTGTGCATGTCGTGGCAAGGGCTGCCAAACTCAGCGCACCATCAAGAGGATAACAGTTCTCCAATTTTGGATCTATCCATTTTTGTAACCTTTCAACGCTCTTCTCTTCAACCTTCAACACCTCCCTTAAATCTTTGTACAACATAACCACTTCACCATTTTCTTCTGTTTCAATGGCCCTCTTTCCTGAAAGCAACTCCAACAGCAAAACCCCAAATGCGAAAACATCCACTTTTGGCATCGATGAGTTTGTAACAGGTCTAGCTGTTGAGAAATTTGCTAACTTGGCCTTGAAGTTGGAGTCTACGAGGATATTTCTTTCTCTGACATCCCAGTGAACAATGCTTGGTTGAGTGTGATCATGCATGTAGTGCAGGCCGTTGTCAAAGTCAAGGGCTATGTGAATTCTCTGACTCCAAGAGAGGAAGGCCAGAGAGTCTAAAGAAGCTTCAGAGTCAGGGAACAACCAATTTTCAAGTGATCCATTCTCAGCATTTTCATAAACCAAGAAGCGATCCCCATCTGCATCATACGAAATTCCCATCAAATTCACCAGATTCACATGGTTTACCTTCTGCAGGATACTCAGCTTTTCTTTGACATCTTTATTGGTTCTCTTTATGGCTAAAACCTCCCCATACATGGTGGCTTTGTACATTGAATCCCCAATTTTACAGAGTTCATCAGGGTCATTGGTTGCCTCCATAATCATTTCTTTGTCACACATAATTGCCTTCCCTACATACTGTGAAATCCCAGAAAGTAACTTCTCCTGAGTGGCCTGATCAGGATCATAATTCCTGACCTTGAAAGATTTCTTCCATTTCTTTAATACTGATCTACGAGTAAAGACCAGCAAGAGAGCCAAAAATCCAATCAGAAGAAGAGATATCTAGACTATTTATAGAATGATAGAAATTATACTCACCTTGTGTGTGTCATTTACTACATCTTGAACTAATAATAAATCCCAGAACCAAAAAGAAAAAATTACTCTTCAAATTACTATGCATAAATACCCTTTATTGGAAACTTGCCTAAGATACCTAGTCATTGAAAACAGACAATATGTAATGAATTGTTTTTGAAACAGACAGCAAAGGTTTAGTCATTAATCACAAGTGATTAGTTTAATACATGAAAAGAATCCACAATGGAAAATGCCTGGCAAGTAGCTTCAGTCTTGGCAATTATTTACACAAACTGGTAAACTCAGTTGGTCAATATCTATAAACAAATGCAGTTCCTGGCTTCATAATATTACCAAAGGGCAAGAGGCTCTTGGCTGTCAAAAGTACTGTAGCTAACTGGAAAGAAGAACCACAATGGTTGAACTTCAAAATGACAAGAAGTTATTTGAGTTTTCTGGGTGATTATTGACATGCACCAATGGTTGCAGCCTATATTTTGGTGGGTCTTGCATTTGATAGGAATCTAAATTAATATAATAAAAAAACAAAAATATTCACATAATAGTAAGAAAAATTCAAGTACTGATGTCATGATCACTTCACTACCCTATATTATTATTCTCAATATCATATGGCTCTGGCTTGTTGACCATAGCTGCTTGACAAAGACAATGCAATAGTACTATTAACCATGGGACAACTTGTGCTCTTAGAGCACTTCCACCTATTTGTCATGGAAAATGACAATGATTATTACAATTCACGTGAATAGTGACAGCCCTTGTAAAATGCTTATTGTGTTTTCACCCATTGTCATTGTAAAATGCTTATTGTGTTTTCACCCATTGTCATGGTAGCGGAAAATACTATTCACTTTAACTTTTTAAAAATAATAATTTATTTTTATACTTAAATGATTTATATGTATGAATTAATAATAACAAAATTGTTAGGTATGTATAAAAAAATGTTTCTGAATTTTTTGAAAATTTTCAGATTTCTTTTCGATTTTTTTAATTTTTTTTCATGTTGCTGACGTCAGTTAGCCCAAGCCC